CCCTACAAAAACTTGAACGGTACATAGCGCAGATACTCCAACCCATCACGGAAAAGGCATCCTCATACGTTAAAAACTCACACCACTTCACACAAATATTGACTTCAACTACACTCAACAACAATGACATTATAGCTAGTTTCGATGTCAAGTCATTATACACCAACGTACCAGTAAACGAAGCACTCCAGTTAATATCGGAATACGAAGACCTTCCTGACCATATCATAGAACTAGCTCACCACTGCCTCAACAATGCATACTTCATGTACGATGGACAAATGTACCGACAAACAGATGGAGCAGCAATGGGTTCATCATTATCACCGGCGGTGGCCAATATGTTCATGATTTACTTTGAAGAAAAAGCCATCAAAACATACGATAAAAAACCGAAACTGTGGCTAAGATACGTAGATGACGTATTTGTGATCTGGACCCATGGAAGAGTAGAACTTGAACAATTTCTTAATCATCTAAATAATCAACACCCAAAAATCCAATTCACCCTGGAGATTGAAGATAACAACCAACTTCCATTTTTAGATGTTCTCGCAATAAAAACACCGAGTGGTAAATTTGAACACACAGTATATAGAAAACCAACTCACACCGATAGATATCTACAAGCCAACTCGCACCACCATCCTTCCCAAATACAAGGAGTAGCTGACACTCTGATATCAAGATCAAATAGCCTGACCTGTACTACACATAGAAATGCAGAGCTCAAGAACATAAAAACAATACTGAAACAAAATGGATACAGCTCAAACACCATCTACAAAGCAATAAAGAAACAACGGAAGACCACACAAAACACACAAGAAGACAACAAAAATCAACCAAGAGCTATTCTACCATACGTGAAAGGAACCACCGACAAGATAGGGCGCATTCTCCGAAAAAAGAACATATCGACAATCTACAAACCGAAGCAAACAGTTCGATCGATCTTAAGAAACCCCAAAGATGCAACCAAACTGGAAAATCAGGGTGTTTACAAAATTGCATGTGGAACCTGTCACCAAACCTACATCGGACAAACCAACAGGAGAATTTCCGCAAGATTAGAGGAACACAAACTAGCAATTCGCAACAGACAGCTAACATCTGCTCTATTTCAACACGAGCATAACACAGGCCATAAAATAAACTTCGAAAGTTGCAAACAAATAGCCAACATTGAACACTTCAAAACAAGAACCATCAGAGAATCTATAGAAATTGAAAAAGAAGGTCTTCTTAACAAACGTGACGACTCCTTAAATCTGCCCCAAGCTTGGAAGTCCATAATCTCGAGACGCCAACATCAAACTGACTGCCTGAGCTTCGCTCCCCAGGGGGCGGGGCCTAGCGGCGTAACGAATACGGCCAATCAGCGACGATCCGCTCGAACAGCGCACGATATAAAAGAAGTGAGGACTGAGCGCAGCTCATTCAGTTACCGACTACGAGACCGAAGACAACGCACAGAAGATGCCAAGTGAGACCTTGGCGAAACGTCTGCAATTAAAAAATGACCAACGGATATTTTCCCGGAATAATTGTTCAACATATTACTCCATCCGTGAAACACTTCAAACTAACATATATATATATATGTATATATATATATATAAATAATAATAAATATATATATATATATATATATATATATATATATATATTACAGGATCCAATTTGTAAATAGAATACATCTTGGAGACGGCTATCGCCGTATTCCCGTCCTCCTCCGCCAATCCTCTCGGTCCAAGGCATGCTCCTCCTCCAAACCTCTCGATTCCATTGCTCTTCTAATACCTTCATTCCATGAGCGTCGAGGTCTACCTCTTTTTCTTCTACCAGGGGGCTTCCATCTGTGAAGTTTTTGGGGCCAACGTTCGTCAGGCATTCTTAACAGGTGTCCAAACCATTTTAAACCTCTTCTTTCTATTCTGTCTATGACCGTATCTGTAGCATTCATCTGATTTCTTATAGATTCGTTGGTTTTCCTTTCCAGCCTTGATGTTCTAGCACTTCTTCTCAAATAATCCATTTCAACTGCCAACAATCTTCTTTTCAGGTCTGCATTAATTGTCCATACTTCAGAGCCATAACAAAGAACTGATTCAACCATCGTTTGCCCTATTCTTTTTTTGTTCCTTTTGGAAATGTTGCGATCCCACCATAAGGAGTTCAAACATCCTACAATTTTACGTCCCTGATTAATTCGGTGTTTAATTTCGGTTTCACCCAAGCCGTTCTTATCAATGAATGCACCTAAATATTTAAATTTTTCCACTTGTGTGATTTCCACGTCCTCGTCTATCAACACTTCAAACCTTGCATCTGAATTGATAACTAGATATTCCGTTTTCTTCATGCTGACTTTTAACCCCCATTTTACATATTCTCTGTATAGACGCTTTATCATAAATTCTAGATCATAAGAATCTTGAGCTAGAACGACTTGGTCATCCGCAAAGTTCAGGGAGAACAGTACGTCATTTCCTATTGGGATTCCCATTCCCTGGCAGTGGTTTTTCCAATTTTGAAGGGCTGCCTCAATATATAAATTAAACAGTAAAGGTGACATACTGCATCCTTGTCTCAGTCCTTTAGTTACTTTTATCGGCTCTGATAGTCTATTTCCGATTTTTAGGTAAGTGGTGTTATCCCTGTATACTTCTGTGATTATTCCTAAAAGGTGTGGACTAATGCCGAGTTGTTGTAAAGCTTGCCACAATTTAGGCCTTGGTACTGTATCATACGCTTTTTCTAGATCGATGAAGGCTAGATGTACTTCGTTACCAACCGCTATTCTTTTTTCTATTAATTGTTGGAGTATAAACAAGTTATCAGTGCAAGATCTACCAGGCGTAAATCCGCTTTGGTCTTCGCTAATTAGATGTCCTACATCATCTTGTATTTTTCTATTTATTATCTTTCCAAACAATCTGCCGAAAGTAGGTAGGACACTCAATCCTCTGTAGCAGTTAGGATCTTTTCGATTACCCTTTTTAAAGATGGACACTTGGTGAGCGGTTTTCCATTCAGATGGTATTTTAATTTGTTGGCAGCATTGATTCATTAGAAAAGTTATTCGTTCGATTAGGAGTGGACCTCCTGCTTTAAGTAACTCTACAGCTATATTGCCAGGTCCTGAAGATCGCCCGTTTTTCATTTTAATTAGCGCAGTACGGACCTCGTTGCTGGTAGTATTAATGTTACTATTTGTTTGTCTCTCCATACTGTATTCTTCTCCCATATATTCCAATCTGGACTCTTGGAGTAAATTTTTATAGTGATTTTCCCATTTTTCTATAGAAATTAAGTTGCTTAATGAGTTATGGGTGTTCTTCTTTAGATTAGAAACCTTTTTAAACCTTAAAGTTTTAAATCTTTTTCCTGAAACATGAATTTTCACATGAAATTTATCAGTCTCTCCCACATCTGTCCTAACACTAGTTGTTACTTCCTTATGCATGTCTCTAACAATCTTTACATATCCACCTTTCTTATCGATTGTCTACTACAGAATCTCCTGAGTAACTCTATCATGCTTTCTCTTCAATGAATACCACATAAGCGTTTGTTTCTTGCGCCTTGCATAAAGCCAAACTGGTTATCGGATATTTCGGCTTCTTTACATCTCTCTCTCTCATCTCTCTCTCTCTCTCTCTCTCACCTCTCTCTCTCTCACTCTCTCTCTCTCTCTCCTCTCTCTCTCTCCTCTCTCTCTCTCCCTCATCTCCTCCCATATTTTCCTGGTGTGACTAAGCAGTTTTATGGCCCTGTAGTTTGTACATTGTTGTATATCTCCCTGTAGTTTTTGTCCCCTGTTTTTGTAGACGGGTACTAATACACTAATACACTCCTAATGCTTTCCACACTTCCCCAGGAGTATCATCTGGTCCAACTGCTTTTTCCTTTCTTTCTTTTTTGAATTGCTTGAGCCACTTCTTCGTTTGTTATTTCGGTCACCATTGCTGTTACTGTCTCCGTTAACTTAACTGGTTGTCTGTGAAGTTCTTCAATTAATAACCAATTAGTAACCAACTACTGTTTCCATATCTTTTGTTATTACTCAATTAATCTTCCTGACATTAGTGACCTTTTCGTGAATTAGTATTTTACTATTTTTATCTCGGATACATCTAATTTGATGATTAAAATCTTTTGCTTTCTTTGCTCTATATTTGGCTAGTTTATAAATCTTGGCTTCTCCTTACCTAGTAATCTCTAATAATACTAGCCATCTTCCTCCAAAGTGTATTAGGACTTCCTTTCATGTTCCAATACATTTTTTTTTACTGTTTTTGACCTGAATAGACCTTCTTTTTCATCTTTTAACATCCACCACATGATTTTTTGTGGCCTTCTCCGATATTTTGGTTTGGTTTCGCTTTTTTACTTCGATATCCAGTACAAGCAACTTATGCTGTTGGCTTACTGGCTCACTATTACCTTGCAGTCCTAACATTCATCTATACATTCTTTTCTTGCCATGAAATAATCTATTTGGGATTTATTTTGTCCACTTTTGTATGTAACAAGTTGAGATTCTCTCTTTTGAAAGAATGTGTTAACAATGGCCATATCTAAAGCTGTTGGTAATTAAAGCATGTCATCTCCAGCTTTATTTCTAGTCCAAATCCAAAACAGAAAAATACTGTATATATAAGAAAATCTGCATATGAACTGTAAATGGCCCTATACATTTAATATAAAAATCCTGATTTAAAAGTTAAGAAAAATTATAAAAATTAATTATAAAAAAAATCAGAAAATAAATTAAAGAAGTTTTATCTCAGATGTTTATAAATTATAATTCATCATGTAGAATCCATTACTTCCTGAATACTTAGTCCTGTAAAACTCATAAAAGGTTTTAATATTTCTTTGTTACAAAACAACAGTAAATTTTATGCCACTTTTATTATCTACTTTATTTAGTGAGATGTTTATATCCCCGTAGTATTCATAGCTTTTCTTTTATTGCTATTTTATTTTTACAGTCACGACCAGAACTCCGCGAGTATTGGAGGAAGCTGGACAGAGTTATTGGTTCACAGATAGGGAAGCCATGGAAGAAGATATTAGAAACCATAAATTTCTCGAATATGGAGAGTACAACGGTCATTTGTACGGAACTCACTTAGACAGCATTAGAGATGTCATTAAACAGGTAAACGTTGTTATTTGTTACATAATTATTGTTTATTTATTTATTCCTATAACCGAATTTTAATTTAGAGTTATATATATTTAATAAAGATTTTTTACTTCATGATTATACAAATTCTGAATGAAAACTCTTCATGTAAATTTCTAATAAGTACCCATCCACAGATTTACCCATCGAAATGTCAAATGAACATTTTGAGAAGCCTTTGAAAAAATACTCATTGTTTTTCACTTCACTTCACTCGAAGTGTTTTCTTCTTTTGTGTCTTCTTTATAGATCCGCATCGTCCAGGAGTTGGATTGTCTCGATATTGACAGTTGAAGCCTGACATGTTGAGATTGCCTCGATACTAACAGAGACACGTTCATCTTCTAGCACATCTGATCATTATCTATTCACCGTCTCCATTTTTAGGTCTCAATGGATGAAACAAAGAAGTTAATTAGATCAGGTAGTGTATTCATATCTTTCGGACAGTATGTTGGTTTTTCAGTAAACATTCATTGCTATTAATTTGTTTACAAGCTTTGAGCAGTTCTCTTTTTTTATTTATAATAGAAAAATCTGAGTTTTGTGTATTGATAAATCATTGCTGGTTTCAAGAAAAGGAATGGGTTGATAAATGTTATCGAAAAGAACGATTAGGAGAGGTTCTGCTGACTAAAAACGCATTGATATAGACACAATGATTTTCTAACGCTCTGGTGGCCTAAAATCTTAGGCACTGCATTCACTTTTTGAGTTAAACAATAAAAAGAAGAACTAAAATTATTATATACATACAAAACATAAACACCTATTGCAAGAAGAAGAAGAGGCTTACCGCGAATTAGCTGGTTAGAGGAGTTGAGACCGACTTAAAGATACTAAAAATCAGAAGATAGCAACACGTCGCCAAGAAACCAAACAGAATGACGACGAATATTAGAGCAGACCAGCATCCATGTACTTTTGTTTTCCATGTACTTTTGTTTTTCGTGCTGCTTTGTGAAAAGGGAGTCGTAGACCTTAAAGAAATTAGTGGTCCATTTGAAGCATTATGGGTGCTTAGGGTGCTACAGAAGGATCTTAAAAATAAGCTGGGTGGACAGATTAACACATTTTGAATGAAGAAATAAATGGAACTAATGAATACAATTAAGCTGAGAAAGTTGTAATTATTAGGGCATGCAATGTCTCTGTATGGGCTCCAGATGACAGTTGCCATCTAGAGAGACATCGTCTTAGGGTTAACAATCCCCAAAATTGGGAGTGTTACGTTGGCATACAGGGTATCTGTCTAATTAACAAGGATGTAGTAGATAACAAATTTTGTTCCATTTAAAGAGCTTATATTTAGTGGCTTGACTGATGTACTTATTAGTTAGTCCGAAAACTTCGATTTTGATGTTGTCCGAAAGGGTCTTTTTAATTATATACCTTTTATAAAGGATTTTTAAATAAAACGATTCTCATTTATGTTTTACAGCCAACTACAGGAATTTTATTTTCCTTGTGGATTATATATACAGTTAAAACTACCCCAACGTTATTCGGGGAGAAAATCTTACACGTAGGTATATAAGTGTGTCCGTTTGCCGACAATGTCTTTTACAATTTTTACTATTTTAAATGCATTATTTATGTAAATTACGAATATAATTTGCCTCTTTTAGTTTTGTCCTCCAAAGAAACTAAACAAACACTAACTATATTTTTCCTTTCCTGTTAATTAGGCCCATTATTTTAATTACTCTAGTACTCTTTAGTCTTTACTGTTCACTTTTTCTATATTTGTAAGTTGAGAAAATGGATCATCACTTTATCCCCCGCCTTCGCTCTTATTTTACTGTTTTTTTTTTAATATTATTTTAATTCAACTTTTGCCTTTCTCATTTCCAATGGACTGTGGAATTGGAAGGTGATACTTCCAATTCAACGTTTCATACTGTTTCTAATCGCTGATGATTTTCGACATGTTATATGTAATGATATTTAAAAATTACTATACTATTTGGCTCAGCTTGAATTAAACAAGTAGAAAGATGAAATCGTAGGCTTCCACGGCCAGAGTCAGAATTATAGTTTATTCGTCTTCCGGGTTTGGACCGTGTCATTTGTGAGTGACCCAAAAGTGGGTTCATCTCGACGTTTCGCTACAATTTTATGTAGCTTCTTCAGGAGAACAAAAAAAGAAAAAAGAAAGAAAGAAGAAAACAAAGAACAGGAAGATGGGTAGTTAGCAACGGTAACTCAGTTACTCAACGCAACCAGAGGCGAATACTAACTACCAAGATGGGCATTTGGTCACAGTAACTCAACTACTCAACGCAGCCAGAGGTGAAAACCAAATGCCAGGACAGGGATTCACGTCCAACAGCTCAGAACACTAACGCGTCGAGAGGCGGGGAGTGAATCCTTATGATATATGGGGATTTTTTCGGATCTCTCGGGAGGATTCACTCCCCGCCTCTCGACGCGTTAGTGTTCTGAGCTGTTGGACGTGAATCCCTGTCCTGGCATTTGGTTTTCACCTCTGGCTGCGTTGAGTAGTTGAGTTACTGTGACCAAATGCCCAAATGCCAATAATATTAAAAAAAAAAACAGTAAAATTAAGAGCGAACTTTTGGGTCACTCACAAATGACACGGTCCAAACCCGGAAGACGAATAAACTATAAAGTAGAAAGATACTTATTTTTTTATTTTTAGGGAAAAATGTGTATCCTAGACTGCAGCCCAATGTCTTTAAAATTATTACACAACAGCTCAGAATTCCTTCCGTATGTCATATTCATAGCAGCTCCAGGAATGGAACAACTTAAAAATTTGTACGACGTCGGAAGAAGTACTACGAACTTGAGACATTCAAGTAGAAACCTAACGGTCAGTACAATCCTGAAATGCTAGTTATTATTGTTGCAAAAGCAATCGATGTTATGCTGCGGCTGTTAGTTTTTTTTGAATGTGCATTTAGTATGAAAGTAAAGATGATTGTTAGTTTTAAAGACATTTAGATTAAAATGTTTATCCAACTAAATTAAAAAAAAAGTTAATATAAGAATTTTCTTTGATACATGTTCTCAATATATCCATTATACATATAGCTTGTGTTTTTTCTCATTATCGATTTTAAGGTCTTAGGACCTTTTCCTTGTGGAAAATCTGGCGACATTCCTTATTTTCACCTCTAATGTATTTATTTACTTTTTAAAATTTTAAAATATTCGATATATGCACAAAACCATCTAAATAGTGTCCTTTTTCTTAGGGTGCCTGTCGTTCCGAACGTTGGCGATCATTCTGGCTATGATGACTTAGTTGGTTGCTATACGAAATAGTGTCCTTAGACATTTGTTAATTGTTTTTGTTTGCTGATTTTGTCTGCATATTTTCTTTATTATCCTATTATACCCCTTTGTCATCTATTTTCACAGGAGTCTTATTTGTATACTGTAGACCTCCACTAATATAGACTATGTTGGAACTCCAAGTAATGACAATACAGGACGAACAACTTCGTGTCAGGATCACTATTGTACTATTATAAATATTAGAAAACAAGTCAAGTTTAGTTTTAATTTGTCGCTAGTTGGTACGTATCAAGTGTATTATAATAATTATAATACTGAAGGGAAAGCATATGTCGGAAGAAAAAATAAGCTACAGAAAGCCAGAGAACTGAAAGGCTATAACTATGTATGTCGATTTCATTGCAACGAGAACATTAATGAAATGGAAAGACGCAAAATATTCCAAACATTTTATGAATTACCTTCATATGATCTGCAAACATCGTTTCTCTCCGCCCATATACAAAAGGTTGGCCCAGCAAGACACAACAAAGAAGCTTCTAAAAAGAAAAACTACAGTACAATAACTTTGCTCAAAAAACGTGTCTGCAAAACGTTTTTCTTACGTACTTTTGACATTTCTGTGCGCATATTTCAGGTTGTTTTTTCAAAAATATCGGAGTTTGGAATGAGTGAACCTGATAAACTAGGGAAGAAGGAACAACCCCAGAAAATTAAACAATCATCCAAAAATATGGTGATTTCCCACATTAAAATGTTTCCAAAGTATCAGAGCCATTATTCGAGCAAAGACATTCTCACTACTAAATACCTTTCTGGCGATTTGAGTATTAGTAAGATGTATGATCTATATAAGGAATTTTGTAATGAACAACATGAAGAACCTGTGAAAGAATCATATTATCGATTTATCTTCAACACAGAGTTCAGTTTGGAATTTCACATGCCTTTTAGTAATTGCTGTGACAATTTTCAGACTTGATAAAATATTCTGAAAATGGGGAAACCATTTCAAACGCTAAACGGGATTTAGAACTATGTACATCAGAGAAAAGCTAAAAAGCAAACGATTCTAAAACATTAGATATTAAAAAACACAAAAATGTTGGGAATACTGTCGTTATTTGTTTCGATTTCCAACAGACATTGCCAACACCACTACTAACTACGTCCAAGGTATTTTACCTTCGTCAACTATGGACGTACAATTTTCGTATATACAACTTACTGGATAGTCACATGTTTTTATGGAATGAAACAATTACAGCAAGAAGTTCCCAGGAAATAGGCTCATGTCTGACAAAAGATTTTAGAGCGAAAGGCGACTCCTCGGTTGAAAAATTTTGGTTGGTCTACCCTGTACCTTAATATAAACGACTTAAATAATTAAATGACAAATGCCTTGCTAGTAAGTCAAAACAACTTCTTCAAATAGTTGAAGACTTCTACAAATTGCTGTACACAAGCCAACACAAAGCAAATAGCAGAGAAGATCAAGTACCAGAAATATTAACATTAGTTAGAAATAAAATATGGAAAACATTGTTAACCAAGGATCAGAACTACTACCGGAAATCCCAATGAGCGAAATAAAACCAGCCCTAAGAAAAGCTAAGAATAACAAATCTCCAGCAAAGATTGTGTAGTTACTGATGAAATCAAAATCGGAGGCACTTGCCTACTTAAACAAAGAAAATAAAAAACCATTTTAACAAGTGCCTTTTCAACAGTAATATACCCGACAAATAGCACAATGTTGAAGTAATTCTATTGTACCAAAAAGGAGATCTCCATGAATTAGAAAACTACAGACCTACGTCTTCTTAGTCACCTATACAAACTCCTTACAAGAATAGTAACGAATCGTCTTGAAAAAAACTTTATTTCTACCAGCCAATAGAGCAAGCGGGATTTCGTACCGGATTTATAACAAATGATCACCTACAGAGCATTAAAACGGTAATAGAAAAGACTATCGAATACAATCGACCACTCGTTCTGGCTTTTGTAGATTTCCATAAAGCCTTTGACACGGTAGAATTTTACAAAATCCTGGAAGCACTACAAGCATGCCGCATTGACTACCGATATACAAGGTTAATTTACAATACATACAAGAACGCAACTATGTTCGTGAAACTACATAAAAACACGGATCATATCCCAATCGGCAGAGGAGTCCGACAGGGTAATACCTTATCGCCTAAACTGAATCAGTGATGAAAGGTGGACGAAGAGATTGCTTGAGTGGAGGACAAGGTTAGACAAAAGAAGTATAGGAAGATCCCCTACCCGTTGGACTGAAGATCTCAAGAAAATGTCAAGAAATTGGATGAAAAGTGCTCAAGATAGAGCACAATGGACAAAAATGAGGGAGGCCTATGTCCAGCAGTATACGCAAAGGGCTGTGTGATGATGATAACCCTGTACGTTTAGTTTTTGGAGTTCATACGCTGTATATTTCGTGGCTTGCTATTTTTCATGCATTCTTTAATACTACAGAACACTGAAGTCGTATTTATCTAACCACGTATTTTTCGAATTCTGTATTCGTTGCTGACTATGTTATTACTATGTTGGTACATGTATTTTAAAAAAATTATAAAACTAAAATTTTGTTTTGATCATTTAGACTGATTTTGAACATAAATTTGAACTGAAAGTAGAAAGTGTGTTTGGAATGTTTGTAGTTGACTAAACCATGTTTCAATGTTTGTTACAGTTACTGTTGCTCAATTTTATATTTTTTTTTTTGCATGTTAGTTTGATCGACAGAGTTCAATACGTTATAGTTCCCGAAGAGCAAGAACATTGGAATCATTAGCTTCCTTGTATGAGGTAAGTACTGCTGCTGCTATTTTATTTATGCATTGTTCCATAGGTACTGTTTCGAAATGCTTGCTCATGTTTGTGCGGTAGGAAATCAGCTGGGTGTTTAAGATGTTTAGGAAGCATTATATAGTGTATTTGACAATGATTATTAGGACAATTAGGATTAGAATTATTAAGATAAAACATGAGTTTTCTGAAGTATTAAAATAATTACATAAGTATGTATTTAATCTAAGCTACACATGACAAGTAAGATTTTTGTAGATATTAATATGGTAAATATTTTATTATGTATCTTTTTTTCTATAATATCGCAGAATTAGTTATTACTATCATCATATTGACGATCCGATTGATGATTGACGATCAAAATCAGAAACAGTCAGGCGTAACCAGGTGTAAACCCGTAGCCTTAGGCCTTAGCTCAATTAATAATGAAATGAATAAATTAATAAATGCACATAACATGCAATTAGCAATCTTCTTCTTCTTCTTTCAGTACCCTTTCCGATTATCGAACGTTGGCGATCATATTGGCAATAATAACTTTATTGACGGCGGCTCTAAATAAATTAGCGGTGGTTTCTTGATACCATTCTCGGAGATTTCGGAGCCAGGATGTTCTTCGTCGGCCTGGGCCTCTCCTTCCGGCGATCTTACCCTGTATTATGAGGTGTAGAAGGTTATACCTCTCTGGATGTCTCATTACATGACCGAAATATTGTAACTTTCCAATTAGCAATAAATATCAAAGAGATCTTTCTAAAACCTAAAAATTACAAAAAAATGATAAATTCTACATTTTAGAACTACACTGCTGATAACAAAGGTCTCGATGTTTCTCTGTCTCGAGGTCTCGAATAAGCAACTTTACCGAGCGGTTTAAAGTTGGCCAATTTACACGATGCTGTAGCCAAGTTTCGTCAGTTGTTCAGACAAAATGACCATAAATTTTTTTCTGGTGATGTTTTTTTCTTCTGTCGTTGTTGGTTATGATTATAAATTATCCAAGAGTTTATGCAAGCTATATTTATCATGCCATAGAACAGGCAAAGAGGCCATCTTCTTGTTTTTCTGGAGATGTTCATGTTTCCGCACATTTGGTCAAATGTGTCTACTCCGTACTTGGTTGCATTATAAAATTTAATGATATCTGGCTTTCCAGTTGGATCACATTCTACTGAACCTTGTGGATTGTCGACAGAAGAAGCACATACTTATTTACTTTTGTCTTATAGAATATCTTTGTTTTTTCACCATCGAATCAGAATAAGCTTTTATTTTGCCGCAGAGTACCAACTATAGTTAAATTGTAAGGAGGTTTTAAGATCTCTGATGCTAGCGGTACTGACGTAAACCAATTATCCATGGTTAGGTTACGGTTACTTCCATACACACCTTGAGTTAATTGTTTTAGATAATATTCTCCTAGAGGCAGTCCATTGAATTTATTTCCCTTTCCTAAATACAATTCTGCATCGAAAATATATTTGGTACCTACGTCACATAGCATTACTATTTTCAGTCCATATTTGTCTGGTTTGTTTGGAATATACATCCGGAAAGGACATCTTCCCTAAAAGCCAGTAGCTAGTCATCGATTGTTAGGTATGATCCGGGTTTATAGGATGTTTTGCAATTCTGTATAAGATCATCCCATTTCACGAATGGCTGCTAATAGGTCTATTTCTCTTTTATGTCTGGTCTAGACTTTTTATTATCAAAACGTAAACATTATATTGAAGAGAAATTATTCTCTTTTTGGGCAGCAGCAAAAATAAGTAGTCCTAGGAGCGCGTGTAGTCAATATTCACTTTCTAGTTTGTAAGTTTTTCGACTTACAATATTTTTATGCCCTAATAAAAATTTCAGCATTATTGTATATCCTACAATTTTTGCCAGAGACTCTGGACTCATAAAACAAAGAAAAGCATCTAAGAGAGTTTGTGCTTCCTTGGTTTTATCAGAGGGGCCTTAAACAAAATGTACGAAGTTACGTTTTGGAGTTTTAGTAGCGGCCTTTGGTTGAGAGTACCACCTGTATTCAGTTTTACCTTTTAGACTCGACGCCAACGGAGTTTGCTTCTCTTTAGCTGCAATTTCTGGAGATTCTCCTTCGTTTCAGCCATTACTTTCTTTTCTTGAAAACTAACCAAGTTATGGTCGTAATCTGAGTCATTTTCGCTTGATGATTCGAACTCTGATTCAGATGGACTGAATGCTTCTAAAACGGCATCCTCTGTTTTAGATCCACTTTATGATTTATCAGAATTGTTATCCGATTCAGCTAGCCAAAGTTGTTCAGGCACAATTGCAACTCAGCTTCCAAGTCCCGCTGCGTGAGAGGTCTGTGCATGTCTCTATTTTTCGTATTCATATTTTACACTAAAATAAAACAAAACTGATAATATCGTTGAAATACTACAGCGAAGTCGAAATACTACAAAAATTACATGACGTTTTTAATATACACAAGAAAGCCAAAGACATTAATGGTATAGACAAGATCAGTCTTGGAAATAGATTAACAGATGAAAATTGAAGCTTAATAGTGAAGAAAGGGGCATATTTTTCATTGTTTAATGGAAAAAATATGTATTTTTAGGATGAAAGATAAAGATTAATAACAAGAAATAGAAAAATTGCTTAAGAACTATTCAAATTACTGAGCAATAATAATAGATTTATACTTACCGAATTATTTTATGTAATATACAAACCCGGTTTTAAAACAGAATATATATAAATACTATAACAATTTTCAATTGAAGGTGATTCATTGGCAACATAGCACTTAAAGCGACCAACCGATATTCCAATATCTGATATCCGATATCAACTTTGCAGAGGCGTATCAAAATAATAATTTAATTATTTATTATTTATTTAAACACATAAGTACTTACGTAAAAATTAAATCTAAGACCGGTATAATTATTAAATTACCATGGGTGTTTTGACAGGTATCTTATCGTTGTCTAACAAAATAAAGTAAAATTTTATTGTTATTATAGAGTGCCTAATGCAGTACTTTAAAAAATAGAAAACTTTGTAAAATATTTATTATATTCCATTTATATCGAAGGAGAACTACAAAGCAAATAAATAATTACCTGCTTATTAAGTTTCGGGATCCAGTGACTCGTCCCCAGTCACACTTAAAAGGAATTCATTATCCTTAACGTCTCTTTGCTCATTTTTGGAATGAGATAATTCTCCGGTACCTTTTTCCTAATGGATTCGATGGATGGTGCTTTATTCTTAAAAAAGAAAGAATGAACAGTAGTGCGTCCAATTCAATTTATTTTCTACCACGACAATGTACTTTTGGAACTTGCATAATCACAGTCATCTTTTTTCACGTACAATGCGTTCAATTGTCGATACGGGTCCCATTAAAAATTAACACTGAGCTACGCTTCCACTGTACTAAGTGTATTTTTTTAAAGAATTAACATCAATTATATTATTTGTCTGTTGTTTACTTACCTCAAAAACTATTTTTGAGGTAATAAATATGATAAAGTCTGTTTTGGCCGACGTATTAACAACACAACAAAATAATTACATTACAAAGATTCCGATTCAGATCAGCTGCATGAAACTTTCAGAAATCAAAAGTAGTCAAAAGTAAACACCCTGTATAGGTAGACAGATAAACATCTTCTGTCTGTTGTTTACTTACCTCAAAAACTATTTTTGAGGTAATAAATATGATAAAGTCTGTTTAATAAATATAAAACAAATTCACATTTACAAGAAACAGAACACACCACGCCTATGCAGATATGGACACTTGATGTTAAAAAATCGAACAATATTTTATATAAAATATTTTTTCCATTCCCATACTTTCCAAGGGCGTAAATATACAGACCAGCGAAGTGTTAATAAGTTTACTGATGTTTCAAAGTATTCAACTAACATGTTCAACTATTCGCTCGTGAATACATGCACAATAAAACTGACCCCGGTAAGTGCCGGTAAGAATTTACTTTCTGACATTTAACAGTGTTGACGTTAGCTCCCAGTTCGATTTGTAGATGAGTCACCTTCAATTAAAAATTGTTGTACGAGTACTTAAGACTTATAAAATCTCGTTTTGATGTTAATGATATTTCTTTTTATATTTATTGAATATTTACAAATTCTAAACATCTGGGATCTTTGATCTATATATACCAAACTGTAAATTCTGTATACTATTACTGTTTAATTAATAATTGACTTTTAGGAAGAAGATTTAAAACGGACATTGGAAGACAGCGCAAGCATGCAAAGAACTTACGACAAATATATAGACATGGTCATTCCAAATAACGATTTCGACACAACCTTTAGACAGATCGTTGAAGCCTTAGAAGCTCTCACAACAGAACATCAATGGGTACCAGTCAACTGGATTTATTGAAAAAAAAAATTCACTCTAGTAGTGCTAGTTTACATTGAATGCAGATAATTAGAAGATAGGAATATTTTTGATAGCATCTGTCATTCCAAAATATTTGTTTACTGCTCGTGTTAATCATCGATACTAGCTGCAAAAGTTTTTGGGGAAAAATACGCGAATATGATTAGATATTATCTTTTTTTCACATCTTGCTAACATTTTTATACCTACTATTCAATCCCGCTACTGTACGAGAATTCAGGTAGGTAGAAAAGAGAGGAATAAATTCTTCTCTTAAGTAATACTAGCAGTTGTTTTGCATGCTAAAAAACTTGGTTTCTGTGGCGATTAAAAAAATATTGTTGTGCTTTTAAGGTTTGTTCTACTACTACTGAACAAGATCGAAATATAGTTATTTTGATAAAATTCACTAGGATTGTATTTTGGCAGCTATTCAATGTACGTTTACAAATATTAGGTTTGTATGCTATTAAAGTAGAATCTCACTAATTCGGCACTTCCTACATAATACACTGCGCATGCGCTTCGTCGCATTAAAAAGTTAACCTCAGAATTTATCAGGTACACGTACTTACCTATTTACCTGCAGTATTAAGTCAGAATCTTCTTCTTCTACGGCACTACAGCCCAAAATGAGCCTTGGCCTCCTTTATTTTTTGCCTCCACCCTTGTCTGTCTGTGGCTGCTCTTCTCCATACACGGACTCCTAAAAGTGCTTGTGCGTCGCTGCTTACTGTGTCTTCCCAGCGCTTTCTTGGCTTTCCAACTGGTCTCTTTCCCTGCATTCTGGCGTTCAGTGCTCGTTTTGGTAGCCTATCCTCTCCCATTCGTATCACATGTCCGGCCCATTGCAATCTTTGGATTCTAATGAAGTTTGACAGGGGTGTTTCCTTATACAGTTGATAGAGCTCGTTGTTATATCGAATTCTGAAGATTTTGTTTTCCCTCACAGGTCCTAGTATTCTCCTCAGTACTTTTCTTTCGAATGTGTCGAGTTTGTTTTTGGATGTTTCTTTCAGGACCCATGCTTCGCTGCCATAACATGCTATTGGCCGAATTAAAGTTTTATATATTCTCATCTTTGTATTTAAGTCAGAATATTGTAGTTAAAAAACCGCTCTTTACATGTGGTTCATTCAAGAAGGTTCTAAAAACACTCCTGTATCTGGAGAAATTCTGAAAGCAAAAGTAGATTATTTTAGTTGAAGTGTTGGGTGGCAGAATAAATTTATAAAGCAATTTGGCATCGATCTGTTAACTATATCGCATGAAAAATTGTTAAGCAACGAATGTGCAATTCCGTCATTATTCCAGCACTCTAAAAATAAAGTAGAAGAACTAGTTTTTCTTCCTGACCAAATCTATAATGCAGATGAGAGTGGTCTGTTTTGGTGACTGCTACCCAACAAAACATTCGTCTTCTATAAACAAGAGAGCACACCAGGTTGTAAAGTGAGTAAAGATCACATTTATTCGGTATTCAAATGCCACTGGAATACACAAATTGGAATTGTTAATGATTGTTAAAGCTAAAAGTCTCTGAACTTTCAAAAACATTTTTCTGTCAGTCCACTATAAGAACCAATTTAAACTGTTGTGTCACGGGAGAAGTATTTAGTAATATAGATTTTAATAGTTTCCTAAAGACTGTCCTAGGACTGAAGAAACTTTTGAAATTATCTATCTTAAATATGAAAACGTTGTTTATGCAGGAAATATCAGAAATAGATGGTTAATTAATTAAAGTAGTAAAAAATAAAATGAAATATATGATTTAAATACTAAAAAATTCGATTGACATAACTCATAAATCATTATCAATTCGGAAGAAAATTGTTGATGGTAGCAAGATGGAATTAGCGTCGAAACTCCTCATGGCTTCGCGTTTCAAGCTGTCACCTGAAGCTTTTGGTACAAAATTACGTATGTATTCCCTTCTTAAGAAACGCAAAAATTTAGATAAGTTTTCAGAAATTTGATCTTTTAAAAGCTCTTGTCCCCAGCCCCAACAATCCATTAATCCGAACATTTTAATAATTCGGCACCCTCTGGATTTTATTACTGCCGAATTTGTAAGATCCTACTGTACTTAAAACAATGTAACTAATTTGTCATAATATCTAAATGTGTTATATGTTTTAACAGAAAATTTCCACGGATTTTTCCAAAAACTTATGTAAAACGTGTTATATAAACAAATAGATCAGTATGGTTAAAAGATAGTCAGGATTTGTAGATATTAGATATAGACTAATCAAGAATGATATATGTACATCGAGTTTTGGCGAGGTATGAAAGTAGTAGATTAATCAAAGAAGCCGGATTTGTTGGTTTACAATTATTTTGGAATTCATTATAGAAATCTACTGCCACTATCCAGGCAAGCTCGCGCATATTGCCTTAAACTACCTGTTTTTCGAAAAAGCAGCTTATGCCTTAGATTATATAGCCTAGGAACATCTACACTCTTGTTTTATACAAAGTTTATTATTAGGTACATTCGATATTTTAAAAACATTACACATTATTTTTAGATTGCAATGCAAAAATTTTAAAGAGTATGTATTTAGCCTAAATAACACCTAAAACATTGTTTTGGTGACAAATACATTTTTCATGTCAAATCATGGAAAAGAAGATTTAACAAGAAAACTAGTTTTTAAAGCAGGTAATAAGTTATACCCAGTCAATGAGTAAACTTTCTATCTTCTTTATTAATCACACCTAGTTTTTGAACTTAATTTAAATAAAAGGAATTATATTATCAATAAATAATATGGGAAATCTTGATAAAATTTATATTTAATAAAAATTATACCAAACTAGTTATTGCTAACCATGGACGTATATAACTATTTCCTAATATTCAAGTCTACTATCTGTATATCTACACAAAGTTTTTTTATAAAAGTTTTTTTGATGCCCAACAATGTTGGTCCGAATCCCACTATAAAAATGTTTTCCAAGGCTGGAGCAAGTGGCAGTAATTAGCCTAGTACAGTTACTTCATTTAAGGTCGATTCAGATACATCAGTCACGTCTCGTCACAGTCCTGGCGCCGAACCGAACAATCCGTCATACAAAATATTCTTTAATAGAAATATGGCGCCGGCATTCACATTCATCAGTTGACGAACAGTTTCCCATCTGTCAGATAGTTGATAGTTCTGTGACCAAACAGGACCGGTTCGGCGCCGAGACTGTGACGGGACTGATGTGTCTGAATCCACCTTTAGTCGTGCATGCATGGGATTTACAAGTGACAAACTTATAATCGTTTTTAAGTTGAAATATAAGCCAAAAGGTGATGTAAGGAGAAAAAAACTATCGGCTCATTAAAGCCCATTAAAAATGGAAAAATTGAACGGATACTTACACTCTAAAATCGATAAAAATAGTATTTACGTAGAAAATCCAATGTGTTGTGACGCACAACAGAAAAATAGACAATATTATTGTCTGCTTACGTGGTTTTCTGTTCGCAGATATTTGCTACATATTTATGATGTTACAGTATGAAAAAAGTGGACAGCACCCAGAGAAAACCGTCCAAAGCTACTGAAGACGTAACAAACTGCCGGAAAGATTACAGCCTATGTATTTTGGGACCCGCAAGGAATTATTCTCATTTACTATCTGAAAAATGGAGAAACAATCAACAGCAACCACTACATTGGTTTATCGGGGTGTTTGAATACCAAAACCACAAAGAAAAGGCCTTATTTGTTGAGGAAAAAATTTTGTTTCACCAAGACAATGCACCGAGTTACAAATTGCACAAATTGAGCGTTGAATTGCATCCACAACCACCGTATAGTCCAGATGTGGCTCCCAGCGACTTACACCTTTTTTCCAATCTAAAAAAATGCTACGTGGCAAGAGATATCGCTCCGATGAGGAAGTAATCGCCTAAACTGAAGCCTTTTAAAGACACAGATAAATTGTGTTACAAGGGCGGCATCGAAAAATAAGAAAATCGTTGGCATGGCTGTATCGCCGCTAAATGAAATTATTTTGACGAATAAAGAATCATTTTTGCAAAAGCATGTGGTTTTACTAGTTATGCCCGGTACTTATTGGCCGACGTATTAACAACACAACAAAATAATTACATTACAAAGATTCCGATTCAGATCAGCTGCATGAAATTTCAGAAATCAAAAGTAGTCAAAAGTAAACACCCTGTATAGGTAGACAGATAAACATCTTGCAATGAAACAGTTCCTTTTATTACATTCTTAAATGGATATATTCTTTAAAGCTTTTGCATTGTTTGAGTACAACTAATGTAGTATAGCGGCCTAAGTTTAATTTTTGCGAAATATTTTTTATTCTTCTACTTCTCACGTCTTCATATGGTACAAAATATTGCTACATCGAAGTAGAATATTTAATTATTGATCAGACGTAGTTATATCGTTGTTGTGGTGCGTAACTTCAAAAATATGTATACTAGTATTATATTATGTCTATATTTGTGTAAAATACATCAAAAGACTTATAAAGTAAAATAAAAAGATTTAATTGTTAATGTAGGTGTATAATAACGAATATTGCAACTTTGCTTCAATTAAATTTGACAGAACGATTTGTTGAGTGTAAAGCCGGCCACTCACGATACTGCGACGCCGTTAAATTTTATCATATTCGACTAATTGACAAACATTTTGATCGTCTGTGACCGTGCATCCAACAAAATTGTTACAGTTTGACCACAGAGAAACTGGTTTCTATGATACAGTACTGGAGAATTGATATCATCGTCGATTTTCTCGAACGACATCGCAGTATCGTGAGTGACCGGCTTAATGTTATGTTTACAGTTCATATTGGATACTTCAAGGTTAACTATAGTCAGCGTCAGTTAGAAAAACTTGCTAACTTTGCACGTTGCACATCTTTAGTATTTCATGACTATTGTAGAAAAAAATTGGGTGATATTCCTAAAGTATTCCGTCATGAGCGATGTTAACACTAATGGGGTTGAAAATGACAATTTGCACTGGTTAAATTGGCGGGTACTACTAGCGTTTAATTCGCAGTTGGATTGCATGGGATCAGATATTAAATGCCATGATAATGCGATGGTTTTTGCAGTTGTGTATCACCACAACGTCTTGACTCCAATAATTATGTAAATAAATAAATAATCTTGTTGTTGATATTTTTACGTACATACTCGAAATCGACGAGTATAATATCTTATATCT